CCCCCAGGGTGGGAGGCCCAGGGGAGGAGCCTGTGTGAAAGGCCAGACCCAGAGGGCTGGCAGAGGCTGCTCTTTGCAGGAGGAATACTTATGGAGGACTGGGTTGTGTTTCCCAGCTAGGGAGCCTTGTGGAAAGAGTTTCTGAAGTCCCTGAGACTGGAGAGAAAACATGGAGGGAAGATCAGGGTGGGAGGTCAGCTGCTTTGGATGCTTCCTGGGGGTAGAGAGGGGCAGCAAGAGAGAAAGAGACGGAGACACACACACACAGAAACATCAGGAAACATATCCATAGTATTCAAATATGAAAACGAGTCAGAAAGGATTATACTTCAATTCTCCCGTTTGCTCACCTCTTCTGATTCTGGGTAGGCCCTAGGAAACAGATAGAGCTCCACAGGTAGAGATGAGGACACTGAGGCCAGAAGGAAGTTCCTTGGCTCACATCTTAAATTCCAGGAGTCTCATGAATTCCTTTCTATGAGATGTTATAACCAAGAATATGTGGTCTGAAGTGACTTGGATGATTCTCTTTTCCAACCTCCTTGTTTTTCAAGTAAGGCCTCTCATTGCTGTCAAAGCTTGGAATGGAAAAATATTTGGGGATGGAATCCTTGCCTGGGGGTGAGGTTGGTTAAAGAAAAGAGATAGCCTCACTCATCCTTGGTGAAGGAGGAGGTTTGTATAAGCCTTCCAGTCTCCATCATGCCATCTGTTGGCTGTCTCCTTACAAGGTTGTCTTTTGTGTTCACTTAGCCCAAAGGCCTGGCTGAGATGCTTAGAGATGGGGGAGGGAAGCAGGAGTTGCATCAGTGCAATCTGATGTGCCCCTTCCACTTGGGGGGATCCTATTCTCAGAATCTGGCCTGGTTTGTACTTGGCAGAAGTTCTCAGGGAAGTATTAGAAGTGACTTGCTGAGTTCCAGCACCATCTTGGGATGGAATGTATGGCATTCCAAAAGCCAAAAGGCCTGACAGAGGCCATGCACTAAGGATTGGAGCCCAGGGACATTCTGCAAGGTGTCCCCAGGGAGTGGGCTGAGGTAGAAGGGTGATAGGCGATGATTCTAGCACTACAGTTTTCCATCCCAAACATATGATTCCCTTCACATATGATCTTGGTTGAGATAATCAGGGGAACAAAGAGAGGATGAGTAGAAGAGAAATAGTTGAAGTTTTGGAAATGGCCCATGACATATCAGGTGAACTCTAAAGGTCAATTTGATGAGTATCTTCGACCCTGTTTTACAGGTGGAAACTGAGGGCTAGAGACTGTAATAAGTGATGCACTAGGTCAAATTTCAGCTCCTGGGGTTTGTTTCAGAGATACAAAGGAATGTGGGGTTACGTGGAACATGGTCTCTGCAGCAGCATGGTGCGTGGGGCCCTCTGTTCCCATGACTATGAAGAATGGTTCTGGAGCACTTCTTAACCTCATTTAGGATATACCATGATTTCCAAGGATTGCCTTCTTCTATATGCGTTTTTTCTTCCCTGATAGCTCAGTTGAGAAAGAATCTGCTTGCAATGCAGGAGACCCCGGTTCAATTCCTGGGTCAGGAGGATCTGCTGGAGAAGGAATAGGCTACCCACTCCAGTATTCTTGGGCTTTCCTGGTGGCTCAGCTGGTAAAGAATCCACCTGCAATGTGGGAGACCTAGGTTTGATCCCTGGGTTGGGAAGATCCCCTAGAGAAAGAAAAGGCTGCCCACTCTAGTATTCTGGCCTGGAGAATTCCATGGATAAATAGTCCAAGGGGTTGCAAAGAGTCAGACATGACTGAGAAACTGTCACATATGAGTTTTAATTGCCTGCATCTATTGGTTAGAATGTTTTCAACTGAAAGGAACAGAAAGTCTCATACCTGTTTAAGAGGTAAAGACATTTAAAATTTCACAGAAAGAAAATCTAGAGGTAGAAGGGACTGTAGGCAAAATATGCTCATCTTGATCCATTTCTATGTGATTTGCTCAGCTCCTTTCCCTTCTAAGTGTTGGTCTTGGCTCAGGCCATCTTCCTTCACAGTTTCAAGATGGCTGCCAGGGTGACACATTTTCTTATTGCACATGCAATCAGACAGGAAAAGCATGGAACAAAATCCTTCTTCAGCATGCAGTAAAAGTTTTCCCCTTCTATTTGATTGGTTAACTTGAGTCATGTGCCCATTTCTGAACAAATCATAATTGTTAGGCTGATGCTATGTGCTGACTGGCTTAAACTTGAGTTCTTGAATCAAACACTGTGATTGCCATGACTGGGTTGGTGTACTCAGAACCCACATCTGAAGGCAGGTAGGACAAGTGAGGGAGGATGGATGCTTCAACAAAACTGGAGTCTGCTAGGAAGGAGAAAGGAGTGACAGATGCTGGATAGATATCTAAAAGAGTTCACTATGCCTAAGAGAGCTTCTAATACCTGGGTGCTTACTGGGTAGATTTACGCTGTTCCATCTCTGAGGTCATTCCTACACTGAGCTTGTATGTGCTTGCCTTTGACTGCTCCCCTCTTTCTGGCCAGAAAAGGTGGTGGGGTTGATTTTGATCTACACTTGAAGCGTAAGCTATAGCAATTTTTGCAGGAAATGACTGCATGAAACCATTTTCCTCCAAAGGGAGTCATATGATTGGTGGGCTCCTAAAAGCTTTACAGTGGACCTGGGTTGAAAAGGTTAAGTCCCTTGACCAAGGTCATACACTGCTGGGCACCAGAGCCTGCATCAGAAACAGATCCTGTGGCTCATACTCCAGTGCTCTTTACATAATCCTGGGGATATGTCATTGTGGTAGAAGTGACATCAACACTTAGGTAGCAAGGGCATGTGGACAATGTTAATTTTGACCTTTGGCAAGTTCCTTAACGCCTCTAGGCCTCAGTTTATTCAGTATATAATAAAGGGACCTTATTAGATGATATTGAAAGTACCTTCCAATTCTAAGAATCTGTGAATAGCTTTAGGTCATGGTTCTCTTCCAAAAACCTGACAACACTTGTTCTATTAGATCATTTAACTGTAGATTATTTGTTTAAATAGTTTCCCAGGAGAGACCCAGAACATCCTACATAATAAGCCAGTTGTTAAATCATAAACAATACGGACAGGATTCATCATCATTACACTTCCCAACTGAACATCCCTGGGGTCTCCTAGTTACTTGGACATTCTGGCTAATGGAGTGCTGTCAGGGATTCCCTATGTGGGTGACCATTTTTCCAAGAATTAGAAAGCAGCAGACTGTAACAAACACTAGAGCTCTCCTGGAAAAATGTGCTTTTTTTTTGTTGTTGTTGAAGTAGAACTGTGAAAAATCAAAGAGCTTTGTGTTCTTTCAATTTCCTTCTTATTTTGGTATTCATGTTTACTACCCTACACTCTGTTATCATCAACCTCTGAGCATGGACCACGAATCCCCACTTAACTAGATGAGGTTTAGAGTGTTATGTTTCCTGGAATATTTGTAGGAAATCTTAAAGCCTCCAGACCCAAAGGAATATATAGCTAATGGGAGAATTTGTGGTCCTATGATAGTCTAGAATAAGAGATATTACAAGGACAAGAAAGTCTTCTTAGAGAATCTCAAAGCATAGAACCTATTTTGTATCCCAAGAGGGATAACAGAATCCCAAAGTTTCAGGCTTCCTTCAGAATATTAGTTGGTGCTATAAGGAAGGTGTACAGGAGAGGAAGAGGAAACATTACTTGAATTCCAGAGAATTTACATTCAGCACTCTCTGTTAATTCCCTTCACAACAACTTTATGATATCCTGATGAAGAGAAGACAAATGACTTGCATGTCAAAGGTATAGTTTCTCCAGTAGTCATGTAAGGATGTCAGAGTTGTACCATAAAGAAGACTGAGCACTGAAGAACTGACGCTTTCCAATTGTGGTTCTGGAAAAGACTCTTGAGAATCCCTTGGACAGCAAGGAGATCAAACCAGTCAATCTTAAAGGAAATCAACCCTGAATATCCACTGGAAGGACTGATGCTGAAGCTGAAGCTCCAGTACTTTGGCCACCTGATGTGAAGAGCCGACTCATTGGAAAAGACTCTGATGCTGGGAAAGATTGAAGGCAAAAGGAGAAAGGGGCAGCAGAGAGTGAGATGGTTAAATAGTATCACTGACTCAATGGACATGAATTTGAGGAAACTCTGGGAGATGGTGAAGGACCAGGGAGACTGGCGTGCTGCAGTCCATGGGGTTGCAAACAGTCAGACAAGGTTTAGCAACTGAATGACAACAAAAGAAAAAAAAAATAGCTAGAGTATGATTTTATTTGTACCAGGATAGTCCAGGGCCATTCTTCAGTAACATGCAAACATCAAATCTGAGATTTAACATTACCAAGTTTTATTTCTTGCTGATGTCACAGGCCAGTGTGGGTCAGTTGACTCTCTGGTATGGCTCTCTTCTAAGCAGGCACCTGGCACCCACACTGCCTCCATTTCTATAATCTCATAATCTCAGAATACTTTTAGCCGTGGAGCTGAAAAACAGGCAACATGAAGAAACGATGCCCAGTCATAACCGCCTTGGACCAGAAGTGACACATGACTTCTGCTCACATTCCCACTGGCTGTAATTCAGTCATATGTTCCTAACCTATTTGCAAGGGAAACTCAGAACTATTTTATCACTGTATGGCTCAGGATTAAGTAAAGATGTGGTGAATACATATTATGACACAATTTCTGCTACATGATTTATATAAGAAAGAAAATATTAATAAAACTGAGTATGTGTATGTGCATGCAATTATATAAATACACAGAAACAAGTCTGGAAGGACAGTTACCTTCAGGGAAGGAAATGGGGTTGAGATAATAAGATAACATATGACTAAAGGGGTTTTAGAGATTTATTCTTTTTTTGGTATTAAGTTAAAAATTTGTATAATGATGTATTTATGAATTACCTGTATTATTAATATTAAACTAAAGCTCTCTTCCCCATGCATAGAACTTGGTTTCACAGTAAGAGAAAATCCCCAAACTCCAAAATTCATGCTGTTTCATTCTTTAAGTTCATTCACTATGTCCTCCTACAGTTTCTGTGTTTTAGGAGGATTTTTCTCTAGCTTTCTGGGGGCTAGTGTTGGTGACTCAGATAATTTAGTGATTGCCTTTGGGAAGGAAGAGGGAAGGGCTCACTTTTCTCGCACAGAGACGCTGGAAAGGATCCTGGGAACAATGTTAGCCCTCTTTGCTTCCAGCCCAGAGATGGAAAGCTCAGAGGAAAAGCCACTTAAGCTCTGGCTGGATCCAGGCACTCAAATGATGACACTGAGAATCTGCCTCTCTCTGTCATTTTGCTCTATTCTGCGCTGGCTTCATCCTCTGGGAGTTTCCTCTTTATGTGACAGAGAGGATGAAGCTTGGGCAATGGCAGCTGAGCACACCAGTCTTTTTGCAACAGTTTCACCCAGAAGCTCTTGTCCTGAGTCCCTTTGGCCTGTTTTGGGTCATGTGCTATCACTAAGACTTTGATGGCTAGGTCAGAGTCATGGAGGTAAGGAGGACAGCAGAGTTGGACCAAGGACCCAAACACAGGACTAAGCGTGTGGGGAGGGATGATTCATCAAGTGCTTTACAGATTGAAAAAGTGAAAGTGTTAGTCACTCGGTCGTGTCTCTTTGAGACCCCATGGACTGTAGCCCCCAAGGCTCCTCTGTCCATGGGATTTCCCAGGCAAGATTACTGAAGTGGGTTGCCATACCCTCCTCCAGAGTATCTTCCTAACCCAGGAATCGAACCTGGGTTGCCTGCACTGCAGGCAGATTCTTTATCATCTGAGCCACCAGGGAAGCCCTTACAAATTGAGAGAGGATTCTTTATCCCACTGTGACAGCCAATGAGGAGGACAATTCCTACCGGGAAGGCCCTTCAGAACTTGTGGCACAATCCTAGTCTCATGTGAGACCAACTTGCTGCTCTCCCTTCTAAGGAGGGGCCCCAGAAAAGGTGAAGGTCCCTCAGTGTACATGGCGAGGTAGGTTAGGAGTGGCTGGAAGGCTGGGGGAGTTCTGCTAGGATGGTGATATCTGTGTTGAATTGAGTTTAGGCTGCTTAGATGAAAACTCTGGCTCAGTCTGAGTCATTTTTGCACTTCCATCTCAGGAAGGTGGAGGAGGGCCCAGCAGGAGCCGGGATCTGTAAATAAAGCCGCCATCCGGTGAAACTCGCCCTCGCGGCATTTTGATGCGAGAGCATGGTGCCATGGGCATGCTGGCCTCCGGGTCACCACGGGGCTCTGGATTTGCCAATCCCTGCTGTCCGCTTTACCATAGCATATGTTGACCCATGCAGGCTGATAATGCACCCCAGCGGGTCTCCAAGAATCCTATAGAGGCTGTCCTTCTTCTGAGCCCTCCTGGTAGCTGGCTGCCGGTCCCTGCCCTCTTTTCCCAGTTCAGGGACCCTGGGATGTCACCTGAGATCCAGCTTTGCTCTGAGGACACATGGAGACCTTCTTAGAGAAGTCCAAGACCACCCTGGCCCCCAGGCCTCTTCTAGATGGGATGGTGGAAATCAGACAGCCCTTAATTTCTGGGGAGAAACTCAGTGATTCTTACCTCCTCCCAGTGAGAAGGTAAGAAGATCTATCAGACACTGGGATCCTAAGTCAACACCCATGGGTGGTCACTGGGCGTGAGTCACAGTGCCTGGGGGGGCTGTTCACTTTATGAAGGTCACATGGTTACTGAGTTCGTTTGTTATTTTTGGCTGATGGAGGTGAACAGAACTCAGAACTTCGTTCTGTCTTGGTGGTTATTTCCCTCTGTGACTCCATCTCCTTGATGATTTTCCCTGAATGAAGTGACAGGACGAAAACCAGACAAGGGCAGGAGGGAAGAAGAGCATGGGGCTCTTGAAGAACAATGGGCATGAGGCTGTGCCCATGTTTTAGGCTAACTGTGTTCATCTCTTTGTGCTTCTTTACTGTCATAGTGTTAGAAGGCCAGATCCCTGGGGTACCTTAGGGTTCCCCTTGTCTTCATTGCTTGTTGCACTTTCTCCAGCAGGGCTGCTGAGCAGAGTCACAGAGAAGGGGTATATCCCAGGTCACAAGTCATGGCCCCAGCCATGGAGCTGAAGGGGGATGGAGGTCATGCTCATGCACACCTTTCATTCTATAAAACTCCAGAGGGCACTTCTCAGGCTCCTTGGAGGCAGTTTTGGTTCAGTCCATGGAGGGATGTTTAGCATCCAGATGAAGCAAGCTGTGTTGTGAACACCCTGCCCAATGGAGGTGGTCAAGCAGACAGGATATCATGGAGGAGGCAGCTCCTGGGTGGGAGTGAGCTTTAAAGGCTCATGGAATTCCATGAGTCTGTGACTCAGCAGAATGAGATTCCCTCAGGCCCATGGCGGCTCCCTTGGTGTCCTTTCTCTGAGTTTGCTCGGGCTCAGATGCCTGGGCTGGCGTCCAGGAAGTGTGGGCGCCAGGCCAGGCCAGGCGGTGCCTTGTGGAGTGCGTGAACCTGTGGGGACTTCCTCCTGGGTCCTCAGCAATGACTGCCTGGATTAGTCTCCAGGGTGGGGAGTACACCAACGTCCTCCTCCTCCAGAGTCATTTGTGCCACTGCCCCCATCGCCTGCCTCCCCAGATCCACAGAGCTGTTTATTTTATTTCTACCCTCAAAGAAGACAGTGGTGAGGAGGAGGCTTTGACAGTCTGATGAGGGTCCTGAAGAGAGCACGCTTTCAAGTGGTAAAGCCGGACAAGGGCATTTTTCATCTATTTTCTGTCCTCTGCCCCATTGGAGTGAACAGGGAGCAGGGAGAACATGAGAGTGAGTGGCGAGGGGCAGACAGGTTCTTGACTTGTCTTGTGCCTGGATATCCCACCCCCAATCTAGAGTAGAGTTGAGAATGGACACGAAGACAAGGCCACTAGATAAGAGAGATTGTGTGCAATTTAACTCCTTGGGGCTGTACCTGGGCTGTGCTGACCCCACACTCCAGGAGAAGCGGGTGCCATTGTGTTCGACTGTTGGGGCCAGCAGTGAACTTGGAGAGCCATGAACCTTGTGATCTGATTGGTTACAGAAGAGCACTGAGGTCTGGAGAGACCCACAGAGGCTGGTGGTGATGCCCAGGCAGGCCTCTGAGTTTCTTGTCATCTTGTGCTTCTTCTGACATGACGAGCTGGCAAGATGCCCCAGCTCTTACCTGGAGGGGGTGAACAGGATCCAACATGTCTGAGCCGCAAGAGACACCCAAATCATTTGTTCCTCCCCCTATTGTCCAGATGAGGAAATTGAGACACAGACAAATGCTTATAAGATGCTCAGGAGGTGACTCATGAACACACTACAATATCAAAGGCAGGCTGGGGTCACCTGGCTCACCCCTGGGCTCTCCCCCTTATACAAACCTAGAGGAGCCAATTCAAAGAATGCTAAAACAGCTAATCTTGCCCAGTTCCTTCTCATTTAAGTGTTTTTCACAACCTCGATCTCATTCCATTCTCCCCTCAGCTCTCCCAGTGAGTGAAGGCTTCCAACAGCAGGGAGTGAGGGCTTCTGTTCTTAAAGGACCCCTGCCCCCCAGAGTACAGGTACTGGGGGTGTTGGTTCACCTGGTGAACAGGGCTAGCGCCTCCTCACAACCTGGGTGTCAACATGCCGGACATCCTGGTGCTTCATTTTGGCCTCTTTTTGGAGAGAATGTGATCATTTGTTCATCTTCTGTGTCACTCAGCAAGTCACTGGCAGCATTTTCTATCCATCTCCCTGACTATCAGCTTCCCAGCCATGGAGTAGACAGGAGACCCTGAGAGACACAGACCAATGGCAAATTCCTGGGGCTTCTGATGAAGCCCAGAAAGATCATTTTCTGCTGAGTGAGGAGGTTTCTGCTGCCAGGTGGCTGTAGGTCCCTTAGGATGTGTGCTGTGACTTTTGACAGGTGTCAGGCGGGGCAGGATGGAGTGCACAGGTGACGCTGTTGTCGTACTTTGTATTTTGTCACTGTGAGTGCATGCTCAGTTGCTCAGTCTGTGAGACCCTATGGACTGCAGCCCGCCAGGCTCCTCTGTACATGGAATTTTCCAAGCAAGAATACAGGAGCGTGTTGCCATTTTCTACTCCAGGGGATTTTCCCAACCCAAGGATTGAATCTGTGTCTCTTGAGTCTCCTGCATTGGCAGGTGGGTTCTTTACTACTGAGCCACCTAGGAAGCCAGAATGTAATCACATTCTGTAAAGTAAAAGGACAAAAGTAAAAGGACTATCAGGACATCAGTCTCCACAGGAGATGCCCCTCCTGAGGGCTCAGGGCTGGGAGGGGCTCTGGGCAGGAGTGTTGCCAACTCCTCTCTTGCCCCCCTGGCATGGTGTCTGGCACAGCTGGGCTCTCACAGTGCCCTGTGTTGATACCAAACCTCCTCTTGCAGGTGACTGGGGCCCACTGTCCCTCTCTCCTGGGCATTATCCATTGTCTGCCGTCCTCATGAGCCTAATGCACCCGCTGCCCAGGTGTTCACACAAGACCTTGCGTAAATCACCCCGACACATAGAAATTGATCCCACACTCCAGGAAGGCAACTCCCCGGTCCTCCCTGGGTACCTGTTCCCTCTCCCTTCCACCTCACTGGAAATTCTTTGCTGCTGCTCACATCCCACAGGCTGAAGGGATTTCCTCTCTCTAACCCCTCAGTTGGGGAGCAGCATTGTGGGGGAAAGGAGAGATCCCAGACCTGGCAGTGTGCCTTCTGTCACCTGGGTCTATTCGTCCTCCCTGCAGGATGCTCACATTTGTTTCCACTTCAAGCGCTTCTCCATCCACTGTTTCATTTGGTCTTTACTGCTATAATGAATGCTAAGCAGGAATTCCTAAGGTGGAGATGACAATTCGGTGAAGGAACTGATGTTCCCAGAGGTTAAGGCACCAAAATGAGATAGCCAAGGTCACAAAGGCAGTGAGTAGCAGGGTTGGGTCCTAGACTCTTAACTTCCCTTTGATGACATTTGCTGCTGAATCTTTCTTTTCTCACTTTCCTGTGCAGCCTTTCAACTTTTCCTCAGGCCTTTTCCAGGACTGCACCTTTGTGGTGTTTTTTAGTTTCCCGCCATGTTCAAACTCCCTACCTTTCCTGAATTTCATGTTGCTGAGTAATACTGACACATCAGTTCATCTCAGCCATAGTGTAGACACACACACACACACTACATACCCCCCCCCCCACACACACACTCTGGCCCCCTCCCCCACACCCACAACCACCCATGCCAACACTTTCATTGGAGAGCTAATCAACAACACGAGGAAGAGATGGACAAAGAGAAAGACTCACAAGCAGAGAAACAAAGAGAAATAGAGAACAAAAGAGAGGTAGGTGAGAGGAGAGGAAAAGAAGACAGGGGTAATGAAGGAAGAACAAAGAAAGATTAGAGCTTTGGAGTTACAAGCCCATAATTCCAGCTTCATCACTCTCTGGCTGAGCCACTTAGGAAAGTCACTTAACCTCTTGGAACCTCATTTTC